CGCCCGTAGGGCTCTACTTTTACGAGTTACCCCTTAGCAGCCTATAAAAAAATAATTGAAAAAAACATATTTTGCAGCCTGCGGTTTTTGATTTTTTTAAAAGTCAATTTTTGAGCTAGAATACTCATCTTCGAACTCGATTTGTCTTTTTAGAATACAAAACGACCCTGAAATTCCCAGATCGCTCTCTCAATTCTTTCTCGAGTTATCGTGCGGACAGACAAACAGACAGACAGACAGACAGACAAACAGAATGAAACTTTTCCGGTCAGTGGAGTAATGGGCTTCGCTGATCGCTCAGCCAATAAATCCTGAAACACTCTTCTGGTACACCTTTCTTGACATGTTTACTTCGGACTGCATTGCCCTGCCTATAGCGTCTGCTGTATTACTTGCCCTCCACCGAAACCAAACTGTCAATAGTAAATGTCGATAGGTTTTGCAGTTTATGTGCTGCCCTCTAGCGGTGTGATTGTAAGGTGATAAAGCATTCCGAAAAAGCTGAAATGTAGAATAATTCGGGGAAGAAGAACACGAAAATTGCTATGCTTTGACATGGTGACTTCCGTTTTCTTGTTCCAAGCACTCTTCTGCATTTCATGGCTGCCCCTGCGTGGTAGGCATGCCGGCATTACACGCTGGCGTACTCTGTTGACATGTCTTAGTAAATATTAGCGCTGGAAACCTTTTGTTCGCTATGCCGGGGGCACGTAGGGCACGGAAATGGGCGTAAAAACGCGTTTTGGGGCGTGTTTTGCGCGTTTCAGCCCTATGACACATATTCTGCCCACCTCGAGGTGGTGGGTGGCCCCTGTTGCGTCCCGAAGAATACTAATCAAAAGAAGCGATTACGAGCTTTGAACGACGAAAATCGACCGATTTTTAAGAAAGTTACAGTATTCTAACAAACCCGTCACAACCCCAAAAGTCTGAGGCCGTTGCGCATCCATCAGATTTAAGAAATCAGGAAATCGCCGGGACACGTAAACTCTTATCTTCGATAAGGAATCAAAAAAGATTGGGAACGGGAAAACATTCGGACTTCTAAAAAAACGTTAACACTGCGTGTTAACAAATAGACGATCCGAATAAAAGAAAATTTAATACAAAATTACTTTTACTAATTAAATACGTTATTGCTTTCTATAACAAGAGTAGTTACGACTCTTTGTTCTGAGATTCACGGCCTTGTGCGTTGCTGTCGTCCATCTTTGCTGACACTGGCCCTCACAAACCCCCAAGCAGGTGGAACGAAATTGGGGGACTAACACTTATTAATTCACTTGCGATACCAGGCAGTTGTTGGACGAGTGAGTGGCGACGTGGTGATCGCCCTCGCTTTGGATGAGCGCTAGACCGAGCAACCGGAGGTGCTCGTCGTTGGAGTCGAGGCCTCGGCGGGCCTGCGGCCTGGTCTGGGCTACCTTCAGGCCAGGCTTGGAGGAGTGTTGAGTGTATATTGTTTGTGTGGCTGGGAGCGCCTGGATGAGGAGTGGCCAAGCGCACAGTAGTGATTGTTGGCCGGCGGGGGGAAGTTAGGACGAACCCATAACGCACCGTTCCCTCGAGCGCCAAACCTGCTGGTATAGACTGGATCGTCCAAAAAGCGGGACGCCCTAACTGTTACACACTGCCCCACCCTCCCTTACGCTTGCCCTAAACTTTTCGGCGGTTTTCTAATTATTCTGAGGATGGATTTCGATAAATAAACGCAGAATCATGTATAATAGGGTAATTTTAACTCAATTAGTATTGTTAAACACCAATATTGTTACTTATTTTTGCAGAATTACACTTTTATGCACGGAAGTGAACTTTTCCCAACTTTTCCAACCCTTCGGAAAACTTTCTGAAATTTCCGGAAATTTCCCGAACTTTTCCGAAAAGGCTTTAAATCCCTATGCGGAAGTAAAAAGTCGACGCGAACTCTTAAAAATTTCTTGGGATTTCCCGAAGATTCATTTTCGACCACTATTAGAAATTCCCATAAAGAACTCCGACCTTAGATTTTGTGTTCTAAAACAAATGTTGAAGGTGGAAGTTTTCATTCATGTTTCAAATCCAAACTCGACACGTGAAATGTACAGAGTTTTTTGTGAAATCCCTAAGGACTTTGGCAATACTTCTCACGAGTGTTCCTTCGTGAAATCCCAGGATTATTCCTAACAGTGCGCACCTACCTGTTTATCTCCGTGAGCAGCCTTTTCTCGCACCGCATCGTTGAGTTGGTCAGTGATGCCTGCCATTAAGGGGAACATTCCCTTGAGCTTGCCCGAGGTGAAGGTTGGGCTTAGTTTCATACGCAGGTTTTTCCATCGTGCGCCCTCCAAGAAGAATAGGTTCTGGCTGAAAGGGTCACTCTCGTCGGTGGGCTGCCCGCGACCATGGAAACTGTCAAAATACCACATGACTTCAGTATCATATGAAAACTCACACAGCTAGTAAATAAACATTTCCACTCTACACATTATTCGACTTTCCACTAAAAACTACATGTAAAAAGTGTTTTAGAGCAATATGTACTAAGGTGCTTTGAAAAAGTCAGAAATCCGAACTGATCTACCGAACGCGTGGAACTTACTGGCTGAAGTCTTTCGTGAGAACTGCCTTTGTGACCTCCGGGTCCAGTGCGACCAGAATAGGACGGCGCGCCTGGAATGTACCCACGACGCGCTCCTTCCCCTTGTATTTGTTGTAGATGGGCGTTAGCAGCTCGTAGAAGGGCTTCCCGAAAGGTATGCCACCGCCACGATCACCCGTAAGCGAGAAGGGGTTACATGACACAACCCCCCTCTCCGTCCAGTATCCGAAGTTTCGCGAGAAGTAGTACCAAAAGGCGGCCAGTAGTGCAGCCACAGCTGCCAGGACTGTAGCCACGAACATGGCGACCACGGTGGAGGGAGAGAAGGTGGCGGCACGAGGGGTCTGCTCGTGGGTCCAGAATCTCGACAGGTTGGGGGATTAACGCCCTAGTCGGGGCCAA